CGTCTTGCGAATACGCAGACCAAACTACCCGAAACGACCGCATCAACAACCGCGTGTTGTCGTTGAAAACACATCACAAGTTATTGGCCGTCACCACACGAAGCCAAATGACCAGAGAAGTGGACAGTTTTAACGATAGCTACACTATCCGAAACAAGTCCATCTATCAAGCGCGTGACAAGGCGGAGGCGTTCTTTCAACAAGACAATGAGCCATTTACAGAAAACGTTCTGATTTCGTACATAGAGGCCGTGTCCCACAGCCAACAAGGCGTACGAGGATGCATCAAGTGCGTCGTCGTTAAGAGCGATTCTCTTACACCTAGCTGCTGCGGCGGCCAATGGCGGGAATCTGGTTCCAGACCGATACAAGTGGACACCAACAGAGTGCCCCACTAACAGACAGCTCTTATCTTTGGTATCAACGACCACCAGCATCTCGTCCGCCGAGGACAACGTATGCATTGCACCGCGTGACTGTGTTCACATTGACATTCCAAGTGTTTGTTCGTCTCTCGCTGATCTGAGCCATGTCGGCTCCCGAAACGTACCTCCTTTGGGTGAACGGCGCCGAGTGCAGAGGAACAGGCGAGCCGTGAGTACCTCCATCGTGTCTTTCCTCCAGATGCGCTTTGCCTGCTGACACGTCAAATCAGAATACCCATTGAATGCCCAGCCACAGGAGAAGTCTTTGCATCGTATGTCCCTCTTGTCGTCTGCATTCCCACTGCTCGCTCTCACACCCACCAGATGCCACAGCGCCTCCGAGGCAGATGTCGACGCTGCCGTCCAGGCCGCCCATGCCGCCTTTGTGGCCGGCACCTGGTCTCGTGCGCCCCGCCACGTCCGCGCCGATGTCCTCGACGAAGCCGCTCATCTGCTGACGGCCGCCCTCCCCGAACTGATTGCGCTCGAAGTCCGCCAGACTGGCCGTGCCGTCCGCGAAATGCAGGCCCAGGTGCCCTCGCTTGTCCGCTGGTTCCGCTACTATGCGGCCCTGCTGCGCACCGACGAGCGGCCCGTTTTCCCCACGGCCGGCCAGCTGCACAACTGGGCCGACCGCGTGCCGCTGGGCGTCGTCACGCTCGTCACGCCGTTTAACCACCCGCTGCTGATTGCTGTCAAGAAGCTGGCGCCCGCGCTGGCGGCCGGCAACAGCGTCGTGCTCAAGCCGTCGGAGCGCACGCCGCTGACGTCCCTCGCACTGGCCCAGCTGCTGCACAAGGCTGGCCTGCCGGCGGGCGTCTTCTCCGTCCTGCCCGGTCCCGGCCCCGTTGCGGCCGCCGCCCTGGCCGCCCACCCGCTCGTGCGGTCCGTCGACATCACGGGTGGCACCGCGGCCGGACGCGCCCTCGGCGCTATTGCTGGCCACAACCTGGCGCGCTTCAATGCCGAGCTCGGCGGGAAAGCCCCCGTCCTTGTCTTTGCCGATGCCGACCTACCGGCCGCCATCAACGGCGTCGCGTTTGGTGCGTTTGTGGCCAGCGGGCAGACGTGCGTCGCGGCGACGCGCATCCTCGTGGAGCAGAGCGTCTTCGACGACGTAGTGGGCGGCCTCGCACGCAAGGCCGCCTTCATTGCGGCCCACATCGGCGACCCCGCCAACCCGCAGAGCAGCATGGGCCCGCTGGTGTCGGCCCAGCAGCTGGAGCACGTGCGCACGCTCGTCGACGAGGCCATATCGAGCGGGCGCGCGGCGGCGGCAGAGGGCGGAGGCACACTGCCGGCCACCAGTGCGCTGGACGGGTTCGACCTGTCCAAGGGCTACTTTTACCCGCCGACCGTCCTCGTGAGCGCACCATTGGCGACCGACGCAGCGAACGGCGAAACCGGAGAAAACGGAGACAACAAAGAACCCACGCCCAAGATTCTCGGCACCCGCCTTTGGCGGGAAGAAGCGTTCGGCCCCGTCGTCGTGGTCGTTCCGTTTGCCAACGGCAGCGAAGACGAGGCCGTGCGGCTCGCCAACGACGCCGCGTTTAGCCTGGGTGCCGCCATCTGGACCCAGGATCTGTCGCGCGCGTTCCGCGTGTCCGAGCGCGTGGCCGCCGGCATCGTCTGGGTCAACACGCACCACCGCAACGACCCCAGCAGTCCCTGGGGCGCCACGTCGGTCCCGGGCGGCGGCAGCGGTGTCGGCAGCGAAAATGGCCGCGAGGCATACCTGGCCTACACGGCGGCCAAGAGCACGGTGATCAACTATGCGCGGCCCCACGAGGCGCGCGTGGCCGAAGACTGGTTCAACGAGGGCGCAGCCGCGGTGCGGTATGGATAAGAGTGGCAGACCAAGCAGGACGAGTGAGGGGCGTACACTTTGCTTGCCAGCCGTGGCTCTCTTCTCGGCTATGAGGAGACTTTGTCCGCTCGGAACGATAGAACAGGCGACACACGAGCATATTAAGCAGAAGAATATGGAATTTGCCGTCTTGATATGTTTCCGGTATAAATGAAAGATAACTAGGGCAATTTGGCAATCGTTCGTAACTACCGGTCAAGCTCAGAGCAAAATCAAGCATTCTGCCCAGTTTGGTTGAGACAGGCAGTTTCTCAATTTGACATCATCACCATCTTCACGAGTGTTGTCTAGCCGGATTCTGACGAGTTTTTGATCCCTTTTTGGTACCTCTGATTGACCATGAAAGGTTTTGTCGTTTCTTCAATTGTTGCAGCTTGGGCGGCCATTGCAGCCGCCGCGCCACCGTTGTCCGTCAATGGCCACAGCCACGACGACGCCCATGACCGTGATCGTGCGCTCAGCCAACCCAATCGCTACCACGCCGGTACTGGTGCTGGACCTTGCGATTTGTCGAGTGAAGACACAGGCTGCTACCTGATTATGGACAATAGCGGCTGCTTTTTGAACACATCGGACACAGCCAGAGTGCTAGGCTGTGCCGATCCGGATCCGACCAAAGCGATTGATATTGTGAGTGAACGTCGAATCTGACGATCGAAACCGAAGGCGCTTGACCTGTACACGGTCACTAACACTTCCAGTTCTGCCGCTGCTGGGGCTGCAACGGCCAGGAGCTGGTCAATTTTATGCCGACGCTCAACTGCACGAGCAAGACTGTGATTCCCACGCCGGCCAAACCAGCACCCATCTCCGGCAGTGGCACCGCAACGGCCCCCCATGGCAACGGCTCTCATCCGGTTCCAGGTCCTACACCCTGAGAAAGACCCACGTCAGGAAAGGGACCGGCAGGCATCGGGATATATGCCTGCCATGTGTTGTAACGGCGACTACGAGTGTCGAAATGCTCGGCGGTGGTGATGGGCCAAGTGTGTGATGTCGGTGATTGCATGTGCTTCCACCAATCATGCCAAGCAATTTTTATATCAATTGAGTTGAGAACGGCGGGTGTCTTCGTTGTGTCAAAGAGCAAACATCTGCAGTCGTGTTTCAAGTTTGAGTGGATCTTGACTGCGATAATGGGAAAATGAATCATGAGAGGAACGGTCTAACTCACGAATCGACCCTGAATCGTCTGTGCTTTGCTGGTGAATGTTGGTGCTAAAATAGTGGCATGGTGCTTGGGTCAGAAGCCATTGTAGGGAAGAGGATGTGCACTGCTTGATGTATCGGCAAAGACAACACGTCGACACATACCGCCGAATACGAATGCAAAGACTGTGGCAGGTCGGAAAGCGAAAACCAAACAAAAGATTACAAAGAGACTATGCAAGTGTCATGGGTATGTAAATAGTATGTACAGAGTATAGCAAGCGTACGACAACGCAGAGACAAGGACAAAACGTCCGTGGAGACGATGGACATCGCACGGGATTTAAAGTACCGCCGCCGCAAGGACGGCCGCACCGCCCACCAGACCAACCGCAACCGACGTCAGCCCCAACAGCCCGCCGGCGCCAATGTGCAGCAGGCGCGGCCGCCCCGCCGACGCCGACGCCGTGCCCGAAGCTCCCGCCGCAGCCGTCTCGCCGTTGTCGCCGTTGGAAATGGTCCCCGTCGAGGGCACCGGGTTGTTGGTCGCCGTGGCCGCCGCGGACGAGATCTCGGCCACAATGACCGACGACGCGCTCACCAGGTCGGCCGCGCGCACGCTGCTGGGCTGGTCCTGCTTGGCGAACGCGCTGCAGAGGTCGGCCATCCACTGGCCCGAGTCGAACTGGCGCGCGTCGTCGCAGTCTTTGCCGACGCAGAGGCCCATCTTGACGACGAGCGAGTGGGGGTTGCCGCAGACGCAGGCAAAGTCGCCGGGCGAGCAGCCGGAGTCGAGGCAGGCGGCGTTGTAGCACAAGAGGGCGCAGGGCTCGGATTCGGTGACGAGCTGGGGCACGGTGGTGCCGGTGACGTTGATGGTGCCGGCCGAGGTTGTGGCGGTGCCGGTGGCAGTGCCGTCGCCGCCCGTGGTGGTCGGCGTGGTAGCATCGGCGGCCGAGGCCGCGGCGGCAAAGAAGAGGACCGTCGACGCGGCAATGAGCCTGCGGCGGCGGCCGATCTCGGTGGTTGCTGTTCTAGGCTTCATGGTCGACGGTATGTCTGGAGAGATATGAGAAGAATGAGAAGAACGAGGAAAGCGCGGAAGTCGAATGGACAGAATAACTAGACGGGAGCAGAGTTCGAGGTTAGATAAACGAAGACGATGCAGGCAAGTGGTCGGTCTCAATGTAGACGGGCAAAGGGAGGATGCCAAATGGGGAGCAAAGACGAAAGGCAGCAGTCTCCAACCAGAGCATCGAGAGGCCCAGTTAAAAACAAAGCCTCTCCCTTCTGTTGTTATCTGCGACTGTTGTGGAACAGTGCCTGGCCTTTCTTCGCTGAGCCCTTGCAACGTGCCAAGGAGGCACAACCAGCGTGGTTCTGGTGCAAAGCCACAGAGGGTGCGTGTATTGTCGGGCAGTGGTGCTTACCGAAGAGGAGAGCAGCGATTGGGCGCCGCCTTTTTTATTGTGTTTTTCTGTCCCAATGTCTGCGGACTGCGCCTCAAAACTGGCGCGAAAACAAAGCCAGCTCTCCCGGGGCGGAACGCAGGATCAATGGGTAGCAGGTCGCAGGCGCTGATGTATCTGTGTGTGTGTGTAAGAGACGAAGAGTGTCGACTGAGAACAACAGTCCGAGAACGTATCGCTGTGTCTGCGTGATGACGATGCTGGCGGCGATGACGACAACAAAGGGGACAAGGGAGGTGCCCGCGGCAGGGAGCGCGTCTGGTCCAGTTGCCAGGACAATGTCGCAGTATCGGCGCTTGCCGGCAAATCAATCGCTCGTCAGTCTACCTTGAGAGGGAAATGCAAGTCGTCGCGATAGACGTCGAGATGGACGATGGGAGTTGCGAGACGACAAAATGCGATTCTCAAAACAGTTGCGAATTACAGAATACTGGAAATTGCATTGCCCCCGGAAAACGCCCAAAGGGCTGCCTCCGTTAGGCCCTGGGAGCAACAAACAAGGCACACACCCCGGCCATTGATTGGCTCCGCTCGCCAGCAGCTTCAGCTTTAGTGGAGTTCCTTTACTAGTTAGTGAATTAGTGAGCTGGTGAGCTGGTGTAGCTGGTGTTTGCTGGCGATGGAAAAGTGGGTACTTTGAACATCCACGACGACATGACACTTTACGGCGTTCAATCAGCTCGTCTGATTGATACGGCAATATCGATGTTGCGTTGGTAGTCTGAGTAGTGTGACAATACCTAAGAGGGAGAATAAGAATAGGTCTGCGTGTATCCAAGAGCCCCTTGTACAACCCGTCTTTACCCTCCTTGTCAGCACCCAAGCCCTGAAGATGGCACACGAGTCAACTCCGTTACGGCCGGGCCAGCCGTCTGCGAGACGTAGGCTCTTTAGTCGGAAGCACGTCGTACCATTAATAAAGTTTAGTTCGTGCTATGAAGTGAGGAACATATGAGCATGCCAGCGTGTGTGAGTGTGAAGCAGCTGCTGAAAATTTTAGTGAGGGTTTTTTTTAAAAGAAAAAAAAAAAAAAAAAAACAAAAAAAAGGAAAACATCGCCAGTCTCCTTGTAGACAAAGATATCGTCAAAGGTATACTGCTAGTGAACGGTTCAGTTGCACTTGTCATCGTCACGAAGGCACCGTACCCGAGAGTTGTTGAGAGGAGATATGGTAGAGTCCCCAGAGGAGACTTGCCCGTTTTCGGTCAAGATCAAAACTCTCGCTGTCCACTTTCCTCTTTTTGTACATCACGTGCGACTAACACAACGTGTTGTCTTGGAGTACGTTTTGTTTACCCCCGTCAATAGTCATCAGAATGGCAGAATGGGATGTCTCTCAGCTTGAATAATATCTCAGTGTCCCATTTTGGGGCTGCGTAGTAAGCGGTAGTCATAAGGGAGACAAATAAATCAGCTTTGTGCGCCTACGAAACGAGTGACAAAGACATCGCATCCTTGTCATTGCTCATCTTCCAGTGTCAAACACTTTATTTCAAGTCATAAAATAACAGCAATCACGACATAAGAGGCAATCAGACATTGGTAACAAAGTGGTATAAGTGGTATATATTGCCGCTCGAAGCAAGAAAGAGGTGGATAAGCCACCCCTTCCTAACGTCGAAACGGCAAGTAAATTAAATTTTGGAAAATACATGCAGGATCAAGCCAAGCAAAAAAAGAGGGTACGCTCTTGTCTACTCCGCCGACCTGCACGGGTACGTGACAAGGTGGTATAAGCACACGACATGAGAATGAAGAAAAGACGCGACAACGCTTGCAGTGAGTTGTTCTGCAGGAGGCATACACACAAACTTAGGCAATGTTGTCGTTCTTGACACCAACGAGATTGTTGTCGGCCAGGTCGGCGGCAAAGGTGGTGGTCGGCTTCCACTTGCCCGACGTGCGGGGGGTGGTCTCCTCCATCATCTTGTCGACCTGCTCGAGGGTCAGGCCCTTGGTCTCGGACACCAGGAAGTAGGCGTACACAAACGCAGCCGTGCAGAGGCCGCCCCAGATGAAGAAGACGGACGACTTGAGGTTGCCCTTGTCCTCGCCGACCATGTAGGGGGTGATGACAGAGATGATTGTGTTCCACAGCCAGTTCGAGGCGGTCGACAGCGCGACACCGCGCGAGCGCACGGGCAGTGGGAAGATCTCGCCAATGACGACCCAGGCAGCCGGGCCCCAGGTGGAGGCAAAGGAGAAGATGTAGATGCAGATAAAGGCAATCTGGGCGTTGACAGCGGCGACGTTGTTGGCCAGGGTGTTGGTCGGGTCGGCGGCCGTCGGGGCGGGGTGCGTCTTGTTGAAGCCGACGGTGACACCGATGATGCCGACGATGAACTCGCAAATCAGCATGGACAGAGCACCGTACACGAGGATGGGGCGGCGGCCGAAGCGCTCAATGGTGAAGAAGGACAGCGGCGTGGACACGACGTTGATCAGGTTGAAGATGAGCGAGATCAAGAAGGTGTTGGAGATGGCGCCCGTGGACTTGAGGAAGGGCGTCGAGTAGTAGAAGATGAAGTTGATGCCCGTCCACTGCTGCATCATCTGGAGCGAGGTGCCGAGGATGGTGCGGCGCAGGTTGGACTTGCCGGCCCACAGCGAGCCCTTGAAGCAGTTGGCCCACGAGCCGAACCAGGTGGTCGAGGGGATCAGAGCGCGCTCGTACTCCTCGTTGGCGACAATCTCCGAGAGCTCCATCTGGATGTAGTCGGAGTCCTGGGGCTGGCCGCGGAGGCGCGATAGCGACTTGGCGGCGTCGTCGAGACGGCCCTTCTTGACAAAGTAGCGGGGCGAGTCGGGCAGCATGATCAGACCACCGGCCAGGATCAGGGCCCAGGCAAACTGGATGGCAATGGGGATGCGGTAGGCGCCCGTGTTGGTGCGGTCCTGGACGGCGTAGCAGACGACCGAGGCCAGCAGCAGACCAATGGTAATGCAGAACTGGTAGCCAGACACAAGGGCACCGCGGATCTTGCGGGGCGAGATCTCGGACATGTACAGAATGACAATGGCCGAGACGAAGCCGACACCGATACCAGCAATCAGACGGCCACCGACGAACACGCCACGGGGATCGTGGATGCCGGGGCCGGGGATCATCTGGATAATGACACCAATGAGGTAGATCAAGCAGCCTGCGACGACAACCCATTTGCGGCCGTACCAATCAGCCAGGTCGCCGGAGATGATGGCACCGAAGAAGGTACCGCAGGACAGGATAGAGACAATCAGAGACTGGTGGCTGGAGGTGAGGGCCTTGGCGCCCGGGCCCTCCATGATGTTGATGAACTCCTGGATGCCGGTGGTGCCATTGATGTAGCCAGAGTCGTAGCCGAAGAAGATACCGCCAAAGGAGGCAAACGCGCAGATGGCGTAGGCCTTCCAGGTGACGGGGGCCTCGATTTGCTCGAGATCGCGGGCCGTGGCGAGGCCGACGAAGTTGTGGTGCTGGGCCTCAGGCTGGGCCACCTGGCCGGTCTCCTTCTCGACTTCAGCCATTGTGAAAATGCTGTTTGGGAGGATGGGAGGGAGAAGAGAAGAAAGGAGAGCAGGGGGGGTGAAGATGTGCTTGAAGAGAGGGGAGAGAGAAAAGGAAAGGAAATGTGACGATCCAAAGCTGGGGGAGGACGAAGACCTTATATGTCGAGATCGACTGGGGGTGGAGAAAGGATGGGGGAGACACGAGAGAGAAAACAACGAGAAAGAAAAGAAAAGAAAAAGAAGGGGTGTGAGAGAGGGTCCGGTGGAACGTTAGCTTTTCTTTTCTTTTTCGTCTGTCCCCGGTTCGTTGCAGCGTGGTGACTGGGGTGTATGGGGAGCGAGCGAGAAGAGAGGAGAAAAGAAGGGGAAGAGAGACGGGGGGGGAGGAGGCAAAACGGGGAGGAAGTCGAGAGGAAAGTGAGAAGAAAGAAGAGAGGGAAACGGAAGGGTTCCACGACCAGGAGGTGATGTGTCAGTGTACATTACGTGTGAGAGGTGTACGAAGTAGGACGTGTACTTTGTCAGGCGCGAGCGCGTGCCTTCCTTGAATGTACAATCGTGCCGGCCGCGCCTTCTCTTTCCGGCCGTTTCTCCTTTTTGGGGACAATACGAAATGGAAGGAAGGAAAGAAGGGGAAAGGGACTACAAAGCCAATGTGGAGAGGCCGAGCCTAGCAGAGGCCCAGGAGGCCAGGTCGTGGAGAAACGGCGCCACAAGACGGAGGAAGGCCACAGTACCGCCGGCGCCAGTCGACGCCAACGATGGAGAAAGAGAAAAAGCCAAAACGAGCAGGAGGACCCCACAAGATACAAACGACCAACGACCAAACGAGCAAACCACCAAACAGAAGCAGACGACCCCAAAGACTCGAAAGGCTTTGCCTCTCGCCGAGAACTGGGGCATGGAGTCTCGAACGGGGGTGGCGTGGCGACCCCAGAAGGGCCAGAAGGACCAGAAGGGGCGAACGAAAGCAGACAGACGAAAGAAAACGAAAAGAATCAAGCCTGGCGAATGCGTACGTTGGCGGCCCGTTCTTGGGAGCGTATTGTTCCCGCCGGGCTGGTATTGACTCAGGCTTCTGCATTGCCAAAGTATGCTGGCCGACTGAGGTTCATAAGCCTTGTTGACTTGTCACAGTGAACAGTGAATAGCGATCTGAGATCAGTGGTCGTGACAAGCATGCCTCTCTATCCTTATCCTGAATGCATGAACATCCACATGAAAACGGCACACTGCCTGAGAAACAAAGCACGTCGTAAGAAACGGAAGCTACTCCAAATTTTTCGATGGAGGTCGATCCAATTGGTGGCCAAAGCATCCACGCACCTTTTCGCTCCCCCTGCCAATTTTGTATTTTTCCTTTGCATTAAAATTATTGGAGCCACCGCCGAAGAACGACCATGGATGCATCTGGGGCCCGTTCTTGGGGCCAACCCAGAGGGGCTAGCCATGTCTTTTGTATGGTTGTATGTCGCATTGTTCCTTTGTTTCTGCACCCCACCGCCACACAGTGGCTCTCCACAATGTCGCACACCCTCCTTTTGCACACCCCAACGCCCTCCCTGTTTCTCCAAGATGTCGAGTCCTGGACGACCAAGGAATTGCTGCTACAAAGTACCATGTATGGCATCAAATAGACTTCCCGCACAGCGTCCGCTTTGTTGTACATGGCCCGCGGCTGGTTCACGGCTACGGGGAACATCAGCTTTAGCCAATGTTTCCAGCAAGTTAATTTGACACGAGGTGGCATTGATGGAGAAAAGGGACGTACGATGCAAAATGCCAAAATGCGGCAGGCTGTTTCTAACGGAAGGAGCGCTCTTGGCTTACCGCCGAAGAAGTCGTTATGGCGTCTCTCTCGGCCTCTTTTTTTCTTCTTTTTCTTCTCTCTCTCTCTCTCTCCTGTCGTTGTTGTCGTTGGGGCGTCGTTTTGCAGCATCCTCCCGCCGTCTAGGCATCATCAGTATGTGGTATTACTCCCTGGAGGCCTGCCCTGACAAATGTGCGTGGTCTCGTGATGTTGGAGACGAGTCACGATGCTACGGAGTACACGCTTCCCCTTGTCCCTCTCGGAGGAGGCGAGCCCCCCCGGTAGGACGATGATGGCAGCGAAGGCCACCGACAACGGCAAACTGACAAGGTGAGACTACCGGGGCCTGAAGTCATGTGCCGTCGTTTGTGAAAGAGGCACGAGTCCGACGATGGATGTGGCAAGTTTTGCCAGAGGACGGCTCTGCTGAGCATCAGCGAGTAAAGAGGCAAGAAGCAAGCCAATAAGGACGCTATCCTCAGCGGCTCTTTGCGGCGCTAAGCCTGCTTCGGACGCCTTTGGCAGGCATTTTTGCTAGTAAACGGAGTACGCCGTCTCTCTTACAGTGCCGCAGAACGCGTTAGTGGCGTTAATGGGAGAGTCGCCCGCGTTACTCAGCTAAGACCAGCGCTATCAAAAAAGGTCACGAGGCACATTGAATTGTACGCCGCTAAGGGAAGGAATGAAAGACGAAGAATGAAAACGACGACCAGAAAGACGCGAGGTCGAGTCCGCTGCGAAGTCGACAAAGGTCGAGTTGACCTGGACTTGGTGCACGTTGCTGGAAGGCGTTCGGAGGCGCAGGCTGGATTGGTGCTGAAAAATAGCCAGGACAGTACCGTTCCGTGTGTCTTGTTGTACTTTTTGATATGCTGCAGTCTGTGATCCATTGGGGACCAACAAACACAAGGTGCTCACAGCTGCAGCGGTCTGGACGCTTCTGAAGATGCACGCTGACGTCCGCTGGCCAACTTGGTGACCTTTTCTTGCCTCGCTACGGAGTACTGCCGCGCCTAGTGCTGGTCGTGCAGCTGGTGTTCGAGGTCTGGCGGTACTATCTCGGCCGGTGGTTCGACAGAACTTGTTAGCTTTCGAGATGGGGATGCACACCCTTGTCGGCAGGGTTTTGCAGTGCGGGAGGTGACTGTTTGCTGGTCTCCTGGTATCGAGAAAGATGGACGATCCGACGTGAAGAAGCTTAAAGTCTATGATTACCAGGGACCTCCGCATGGTTGGCCGATCCTTTACAAATTCGTACAATCGACGCACATGGCATCAAACGAGAGACACGATACACAGCAAGGAGACGGGCACAGACAGCCGCCACCCGACACCTCTTTACCTGTCAAACCTGTCACTTTGGAACGTGCCGTGACGCCACAGCGACGTCCTGGATATCGTCGGAAGTGGACAATCGTGTCTTTTGACCATCCAGTTTGAATCCATACGCCGTACTGCCTTGAATGCATGCCAAGAACTACGTCAAAAGGGCCGCAAAAGTTGCGAAACACGGCCAACTTTGCCATCCCCATCCCCCATTCGCCCCCTTCTCCCTTTCCCCAGTATATGAAGTCTCTCCACACCAACAAACGAGTCGTATCCTCCCTTGCCTTGTTCCCCGTCCAACATGTGGCATGTCCCACGGGGTCTGTCCAAAATGCAGAGTAGCGTGGCCAGCCTGCATAGGATGCATGTCGAGGAAGCAGCAACGGCCCGACAAGATGCACGTCTTGGGACTAGAGCTGAAGGCTGGGGGAGACGCCGCCACAGTCGAGGCCGACAACGAGAGGGCGTGGAAGAAAAACAGCCTTCAAGCGGAGCTATTTTTCGCGGACCAAATCGTCCCCTTGTCGAGTCCTCTCATATCCGCAGTTGTTGCCAAGTGTGAGTTTAGGTCCGAGGCCTCGTTTCCGGCCTCGTGTTATGTCTTGAGGCGTCTGGGGATGGAATGGGGGCTTGGGGCCGTGTGGGTTGGCGGCGGGGGGCGTGGCAGCCACATCTCTTGGTCCTTCACTTGGCTGGCACTAGATTCGATTCTAGCACAAATAGAGGCGCCGAGCGCCTGTTAGGTCACGTTCACTTGTCTGGTGGACTTCCTGGCCAACGCTCACTGGCTTGCAAGCTTCCTGGCGCCTTTCTTTGGGCAGATGGCCCCATCGGGGATGCACCCAAATGGGCTTCACTCGGCGGTATTCCATTGGCGCTAGCGAAAGTCGGTTTTTTTTTTTGGTCTTCTAGTTGTTCCTTTGGTGCCCTTTTGATCGAATTTCATTTCCATATGTCAACTCGGTATTCTATTGGTACGATGCAAAAGGCCAGACAACCGAAAAAAGAAAAAGAAAATATGGCAAGCCTCCGACGTCACGGTAATCGTCCAGCGTGTCACGTAACATGGCTGTCTTTCGTTTTTGTCTTCTTTTCTTTTTCTTTTCTTTTTTTCTTGACAGTTTCTTACCGAGGCTTGGCGGAGATTGGAAGGAGTAAAACAACACGTCAAGTAAAAAACGGAAAAGTCAGTCAGAAAGTGGTTGTCAACTCCAGTCCGGCCGTTTTGGCCTGACTTCCCACTTTGTCGGTCCGTTTTCCATAATGCTTTCGAGTTATTTTTTTAGTTAGTTTTTTTGGGGGGGGGGGGATAAAAATAAAATAAAGATATTTTAACACCGTTCGCCCCTACTGTACGTTGGACGGTCCAGGCCTTGAAAGCCCCTTTAGTTACGGCTTTTTACTTAGTGCACAATTCGGTTTCCCTACTTTTAAACTCTTTAAACTCGCAGCCTACAGCGTACAAGGGTGCCATCCGGCGCTGGTTCCGGCAGTTCAGGCTTCGCCGATCCTGGTACGTTGCGTTTACAGTGGTTATTCGGGCCTGCTAAGCCTGTTTTTGTCGCTGATCGTCCCCTGTACACGAATGGCTCAGGCCCCTACGGCATTTCTACGGGCGCCTATTTTACCTGGGCCTGGCTTGCTTCCAGCGCAGTATGCCTAAAACTATGACTCTAGATCGCTGCGTCCCAGGCGATGCATTTATGCTTGTTTTAGTCGCGACGAAGAACGGACGGTGTGTGCAAGCTGAATCCTTCTCAATGTGACTGCCGGGTCGGGTTCATTCAGCCAATCAGCATGGCCGTTGACGGCCAATGCCTGCCATTGGCCACGACTCACTGACCAAGCGTGCGACGTTTCTCGAAATCAGTCATTCTTTTTCTTTTTCTGGTTTCTGTCTCAACTTTTCTTCATTGCTGCACGAGACTCCACGAGGAACAAGCCTTGCCAACCGATTCGCTTCCAACAGACATCAAACATGTCTTGCGTGCTCGTGGGCCGTCACAATGGGAAAGTACAGATCGTCCGTTGCATCGAAACGAAAAGCGAAGAAAAACAAAAGAAAAAACGGGGCACCGACGCGTCAACGGGACGAGCTTCTGTTCCAGAAAGAGGACAGCAAGAAAAAAGACGCTTTAATTTCCCAAGAACGACCGCTGATCAGCGCTCTCGATCTACAGCACAGAGTGCAATGATGCTGTTGAAGAAGTGAAGAAAACGGACGAGACCGGAAAGGAACGTAAAGAAAAAGAAAACGAAAACGGTCCACATTCGAGGGACCGTCGACAGTGCATTGCACAGCAGTTGTCGACAGCATCGAGTATTTACCGTTCTGCCACGACGACACGCAGTCAGTCGTTGAGGAGAAGATAGAAAGAAACGGCTTGTGGACACAACGAAGTACGCAAAATGCCAAAGTAGGACAAACTGGTTGTGTTTTGATGCCAGGGTGTGTCTTGGGACTCAAAACGTTCTCCACAATGTAGCACTGGTTAGTGTTCAAAGGGGGGAAAGCTCCATCGACAATCGGCCCGGACGCACACACCGACAGGGGAGGGGAGTAAGAAAGTATTATTATTCTGGGGACAGGGGCGTGTTGGTGCGGTCTTGGCGAGCACTGCGATATTTCGTACACTTGTCTCCTGAGAGTCCTGCAGGCTTGTGACAGGCGTTCGAGTGGCTTCACTTTGTTCTGTCACCGACGACCTTTGCACCTTTGAGCCTTTGACGCCTTGTCCGAGTGCCTCGTGACGTGTTTGACCGCCTTTCTTTGTCGTTTGGGTTTCTCATTTCTCGTCACTTTTCTCTTTCTTGTGTTTGTTGCTGCTTTAGTGATTTGGTTCATGTGACATCTGACGGCTTCGAAGCTACCTTGTGTGTTGCTCCCATTCGCAGCACTCCCCTATTCGCATCGCTTGGCTCGATGTCCCTCTCTTTACTCCGTACACAGTATGTTTTCATTGTTCGTCATGCCAAGTCAAACCATTTGGGAAAGGCTTTGAACTCCAACTCCCCCATGTCTCGCTCCAGACAAGGCTAGACCAGATCGAGCGCCTCGTCCGATTGCCTTTACGGAGTATGCTTTTTGTCCCTTTCGTCCCCTTTCCCTTTTCCCTTTTCGCACTCTTCCAGAGAGTGGTCCTCGGCAGCCCAGGCACTAGCAACGAACGGGCCTGCCGAACGTTCTTTTCTTTCGTCTGTGGACACATCCAGGTGACCTTGTGGACGAAACAACCGTATGTCAACGTACAGCCAGTTCTTGGCTACAGTCCACCATCACCCAAAATCACCCTCAGACGCCCACACGCGCCCACTTTAAAAAGGCCCGTCTCCAAAACAGACTACATTGTATGGAGCCGCAGTCAATTGTCTGTTTTCTTTCCGTTTTCGTATAAACGCCCCGGTTCCATGTAGGTTTCTACAGACAGTACTCTTGAGCCTTTTGATTGTGAGACGGAAGCTGGCCCACCTTTCCGTATAACAACTTTGTTCTGATTATGATTGGCAAATTGTGTTCTCACGCGTCGTGGACGAAGTACAGAACAGCCCTTGCCATGCCGCTGCAAGCCGAACAACATTCCCACTTTCATAGACATGAAGAAAATTTTCGTACCGTCACGCTCAATGAAAAGATCGTGGGGCTTTGTTCTTTTCAAATCTCGCCCACTTGGGTGGCCTCACATAGGTGACCTCCCAGTTCTTTGATCCACCTTACTCACTACAAGATAACATTCAGTAGAATGGTCGACTTGAACAGTGCCAAATCCCGGAGCCGTGGTTCGCCGTCACGAGGATTTGACCGTGTACTCTCCCGCACCGGGCACCAGGAAGGCCACCCTATATTCCACCCTGTCCATATTGGATGTTTTGTGCCGCCATTTTGAGAAATACATTTCGGTATGAGAGACTCCGTCGTGCAGCTTGCAGCGGACCGACTCTCTTGCAGTAGCCAGAGCTCAAAAACCAACATCCAAGTCCAGTGCGGATTGCCAAGACCGTCACGTCCCAGTGGCCTGTTGGGCGCACTTGGCATGGGTTGTGTGTAAAACTCCAAAGCGTCTAACGGCGTACGAAGTATTACAGGCACATGACGGTTTTGCTCCGTTGCCCAGGACATTTCGCGCAACTGTCGACACGCTACTAACACGACACCTATTTGCGTAATGCGGCCGCTGTTTTGAGGTGTTTCAATAAATACCACTACAAGCTTATTGAGTCCATTTTTGTACTGAGCAGACTGGTTTTTTGTTTTGTTATTGGCCGCATCCCCCCTCCCTATCCCACACCAAAAAGGGAGCTTGCGACCGAGAAACGGCCGCGGTGCCACAGCTCGACAAAGAAAAAGAAAGGAAAGGGAACAAAGCCCCGTCTTAGCTGGATGAAGCTTTCTCCGGTGTGGACAGGTACATACGAGCCACTGTTACAGAAAACACAAAGCTAGAGCCAATATAGGAATATGCCGCAAGCAACACTGCCTCGTACGGTCGTCCCATCTCGCTCAAAGGGATGACTTTACTTGGTTTTTTAAATTATTTGTTTGTGGGGTTTGCGACTCGTGGTGAGATATGTAGAACACAGAGAACCCCAAATCATAACCCCGTGGAGATGAGAAATCCGGCGGGGGAGGTGCCAAGCGAAAGAAGTAAAAGCACATAATTCGTACATGACACACACCTAGTCAGTTCGTCCGACGTGCGCCCGTGTCAGCTATGCCTAAGACGGTCGGTCGTGTGTCTGCACGAGAACAAGATCTTGTAAGCGCGTAGGTGATGATATTGGCCGAATTTGAAAACACCTCAACTTCCGGCTGTCAAAACGCAATTAGCTCTTGGAGAGGTTCGTGAAGGGCATCTACTAAGCGCCGTGTAAGACGCCGTGCCTATACCCACAGAAGATTTCAAGGTGCGATAACAATTGCAGCGTGAACCAGTTGTTCACATCTGAACGCAGGCTGTGGATTGGGAACGTTGGAACACACTGGCGCCACCTCGTCGTTTTCAAATGCCAGTAACGAGAACACTGTGGTCTTCCCAGCACCCACCTATCAATGAGTGTAACAGAAGCCGATGTCTTGCTGCTTGTCCGCTACCGGCGTTGTCTGTCTCTACTTATCGTGTCTCTTTATAAAATTTATAATCAACGTCACAGTATTGAGCTTACACACTATAGACGCCTATATATGAAAAACATAAGTAACCTGCACTTTCCATGTACAATACGTGGGAAGTCTCTACGATGATAATTTCTCCAGTCTCTGGATATAGTCATCGTCTCCATACGGCCCAGTCTCTTTTCCCAACGGTGGCAAACGGTCGCATACCTTACCACGCCGGCGAGAAAACGGGGCGCATCAGTAACGGTGAATGGGGCTTATTCCATTTTGGCTTCCATTCGGCCCTTTGCTAGGTAATATATTCATTTTCATGTCCGCTCTTATTTTCTTATTACCGTATTTTCCTCCTCGAGCTCACTATGCGCATGCAGGCACATAGTTTAGACATACCCCACCGGTTGTCCCAAGGTGTGTGCGTATAGAAAGTTGACCCGCCCAATGGAGAACAACGGAAATGGAATATGTGGACCGCCAGGACGAAACGTTGATGAAGTGTATTGCGAGATTATATATGTGCAGATGGAGAAGTGTCTACTTGCAGCCAAGCCGCCGAAGGGGGTCGTCAAGCAACCAGAATAACGGATACGGCTGGGGGGGTGGGCAGGGAGGGGGCGTGTATCAAGAGATGCAGGACGAGACAGACCACCACAGAAAAACGACAGAACTGACAGTAAGATGGCGTTCAGTTGGGGAAATGAGGAGAAGCTAAGAAAACGTGGCGTTTCGGTTTGGGGCAACCCCATCTCTACTTGGCTCTGGGGTGAAGAGTTATCACGGTCCGACTCTGGCATTCGCGATGCGTGAAATTGGCCTTAAAATAATTTTGTGCTCTACAACAGCACGTTGTTCCTGATCTTGCGTTCCTAGACAGCCGCTCTCATAGGATGCAAAGGTCCTCCGTCATGATGTGGCTTTCTAAATTCTCGCCGACGGCCCGATATAGTCGGCGAGAATGACCTATCTGGAGCGAATGAACTATCTGGAGCAACAGTCCTCTATGGTCCATGTGGCCTTACGTATTTTTGCTGCATCAGTTTCGGCATAATTGAGTTGTGAGGGCTCGTAGATAAACAGGCAAACCGTGGGAGAGTCGCCTTACAGCATGTGCTGCAACAACGACGCCGACATAGTTCCTATGCCGGCGACGGAAACCATTATAGTTGCAAGATCTGCGGTGTGCTGCCGTATATGCAAGGCACAAGGACAGCTGTGTGGCAGCTGTATGTGACATAAAGAGCCGAGAGCCTGGGATCCCATAGAGCCAAATATAGTAGCCTTGTCGAGCTGGTGGTGGTTCTAAAAGCGAAATATGAAAAATTAGGTGGATCTGCAATGATCGTGGTAGCGACAGTTCGTAGTTTGTGTCTAAAATCTTTCGCTTGACCAAGTTTGTTCTTTGGTCGCTTCGTTTTGATGCTTTTTGGTGACGAGTTAGACTTTATTGAAATGGTAGGATTTACAAAAAATATAAAGTTCGGTATTCCAACTTTACTATTTATCGAATACTCCGCGATGATGCCAAGGAGTTCATTGGGCTTCAAGCTGGAGAGGGTTTACGCAGGCGCTGTCGCAGTGCTGCCTCCATTTTGCAGGATTGCCTCACTTCTCAAACCCGAACAATGCCTGCGCGGTCGCGGGCCGCTGAAGGAGGACTCGATGGCTGTCCACAGGACTTCTGAGCAAAGACTACCGTCAACTCACATCTTCTTTTCTTGGTGTGAATGTGCTTGTTTATTCTTTTCTTTTGTGCCGAGCGTTTGATGGGATGTGCATGATTACATGTTTTGTTTATAATTTTTACTGACTCTAGCGTTATTAATTAATCTTTCAGTTATGTTAAATATTTTTCAAAGAATCATAAAACTGTTGAATATTTCTAGACAAATTGTCACATTTAAAAAGCCAGAATGCTACTGTTCTTTACTGTTACTCCGTACTTTGGCTTCATCTTGAAATGGTAACACGTGCCTTAATCCCAGCCACCTTGGAAGCGCAGCCTCGCCAATCGTGGCGGTGAAAAATGGACCCAGCGCTTCCCCTCTGACAAGGCCCCACAATTCTTCTCAAATCATGTGCCTTCAGCCGCTTTGCCCCTGCGGCAGGACCAGACGTCTGCTGTGCGCCTACAGAACACCCAACCACATCGAACAACGCAACGACAACAATCCGTCCACACGGCATACACCACACGCTGTCACCGCATGCACGGCTCTCGCCTCCAATTCTCGCCGTCGTGTTCCACACTGCCCGCCCATGCCGTGACGGCCGACGCGAAGGTCACAGCGCAGCCGGAGTGCGTTGCCCCTGGCGTCTTCCCTCCCCGCCTTTCTGGCATTGACCTGCGGATATCAATTCGATTGTCGACAATCGATTGGATCACCTCGGCTCTCGTGCGGCGACCCGGTTGATCGTTGACATCCTCTTGTTTCCCTTTGTCTTCTCTGGCCGTTTGGAGCCCTCCCGTTTCTTGCCGTCGCCAACGGCCAGTCGCCAAACGCAGGCCACTTTTCGCTGAACTTCTTTTCAGTTTTCTTTGGGTTTTTCCTTCAATTTTTCCTCAATTCCCTTGTCGACATGCCCATGGCAGCCACAAACAACCTTACTCTGCTGCCATAGCTCCTACGTTAGCTTCTCGTAGCTACATACGGAGACAGCAGCTACCACAGCTACGCAGCTGCCACGGCTACCCTTGTCCATCGACCTCCACAGCCGACCTCGGCAGGCTCGCGACTCTCCATTGCTCCACTTTGCGGGCAGAGACGACTCCCACACGGCGGACAGATCAAGGCAGAGGGCAGCCTCAGTCGCCATGGCGGCCACAACAACCGCCCGGCGCCACCAGCCGTGGCACAGCATGTCCACTGCGAGGGCGACGGCGGCCTCCTCGTCCTCGTCCAAGAAGCCCTCGAAGGTCTCGAAGACTGCATCCAAGACTGCGTCCAAGACTTCCAAGACTGTCTCAAAGACAGCATCAAAGGCCAATGGCACCGGCATCCGGCCACACGATCCGCGGCTGGAGCTGTCCCTGCGCGCTTTCCATCAGACCCTGGCCAAGAAGCGCCCGCGGCAGGAAGCGTTCCCACACGATGATATCTTCACACTGCTGACGGCAGCCGCCGCGACGACGCCGCCGATGCACACGACACAAACAACCGGCACCGCCTCATATGCCTCTCACTCACCACTTCCTCAACTTCCGACTACACCCTCCTCCTGTCTCTACGACCCGGTTTCGCCGTGGGGTGTTCGCGGTATTGCTTACGACCCGGCGACGCCACAATGGGAGCTGCCTGGCGGCATGGCTCTACCTGCGTGCGCACCTCTTGCCTATCAGTTTGTGGCCGGCAGGACAACAGGACCGACGGCTGCCAACGAACCACCACAAGTGCATGCACCGCCGCAACCACAAGAAGAGACAGCGACAAAGCCATGGAAGCCCAAGAAGAGCCGGTTCTTTGGTCCCGGCCTGCGGGAAGTCTTGAGCATGATTCCGTCTGCACCGGCGCCACCGCCACCGCCAATGCAACAACAGCAACAGCAACAGCAACAGCAACAGCAGAAACAGCAGAAACAAAAGAAACAGCAGCAACACCACGAACAACCGCATCACCAGAAACGACAGCAATGCCACGGACAACAACACGTCTTACCTCCGTCAAGACCAAACGGCGACCAAAATGCCTATTTGACGGAATGGCGGTTCGTGCTCAGCGATCTTGGCCCCCAGCCGGCCCAGCAATCACCACAGCCAGCAACGGCCACACCGGCCACGCCCAGCACGTCGGAGGCGGCTTCGGCAACAGCGGTGACAAATGGCAAACGGCGTAGGAAGCCGTCAATGAAGGCTCAGCTGTCATCGAATGCCACTAGCCGACTGCCATTGTCAACACCGTCAGTGTCATCAATGTCAGCCGTGCCCGCACCAACCACGCCTCATGCCACGCCCGTTCCTCCGCCCCTCACCCCGGCCTCGGTTCCCGTCTCGGTTCCCGTCTCGGTTCCTAGCTCGGCTCCCACCAGCAGCAAGGCACCCACTACAAACGGCCAAGCGTCGCGCTGCTGCCCTATGGAGGTACCAAGCATTCTCCACATGATTCTCGACCAGACAAGCGACAATCTCAAGCCGCAGATGGTCGACTCGTACGTCAGCTATGTGCCCCGTCTGTGCCATGACCACAAGGATAAATACGAGCGCCTTAAGGCGTTGATGCAGCATGGCCTCAGCAGCACAAGCCGCGGCCGTGCTAACAGCCACCATGGCCCACCAACATCTGTGCTGCCGCCGTCATTGCCGCCGTCATTTCCGCCGTCAGCGCCACCTAAGAAGAAACGCAAGTCATCAAGTCATGCCGCCGCACCACTCGTCCCGTCACCGTCATTGCCACAAACGGCTCCGCCTACCCAGCCAGCGCAGTCTGCTCCTCCTTCTCCCCTTCCGTCTCCTCCTCCCTCTCATCCGCCATACACTGTCGACCCTGACGGTATTCGGCCGGCGATCAACGCCGCCAGGGACGACCAGTACCGCCGCCTCATGCTTGATGAGATCCAGGAGCGCTTCGCCGCCAAGGAAGGCGTCGACTCTACCCACGGCGACGTCACCAACCGTGTCATCCACAGCCTGCTGAACATTGCTCGGCCGCCCAACACGGACGCCTCCAAGGGCCCCCTGGACGTGCACACCTTGACCGGCCAGGAGGCGTGGACGATGCTGGACAATGGCTCGCCGCACGAGCCCGTCGTCACCACGATGGAGCAGATGTTCCAGTGGCGGCCCAAGCTGCGCCCCATTGCCGAGCTGTTCCGGCGGATGGAGAATCTGGATCGCCGCGTGTCGGTGCAGGTGCCGTCGCGCCACTGCATGGACGACTCGTTTGAGTCGAGGGACTTGATCCAGGTGCGGGATCGGTTTCTGGGTCCGGGCGGCTCGTCTGCGTCCTGCGACGCCGACGATCCGTGGAACATTCTGGACCTGCGCAGCCCGCTGCCGGCGGCGGTGCTGCCGCGGTTCCTGACCAACGAAAACTGCCAGCTGCTCCCGCGCCTGCGCGACGAGGTCCTCAACCCCAGCCGGGCCGAGCGCGACACGGCCGCCCGCGAGCAGTGGAACGAGTGGCGCGACGTGCTCGAGTGGGTCTTGCTGAGCCAGGGCGGGCACAATACGTCGCCGCACACCGACAGCCACGGCCTGGGCACCTGGATCACCGTCCAAGAGGGCCTCTTTGGCTTCGGCTGGCTGTCGCACCCGACGCCCGAAGAGCGCGCCGCCTGGATGGCCAACCCGCACGGCTTCCGCGGCGGGCACTGGTGCTACATGGTGCTGGAACCGGGGCAGACGGTCTTTTTCAACTCGGGCACCGTCCACTTTGTCTTCCGGCTGCGCCGCGAGGCCACCCTGGCCCTCGGCGGCCACGTCCTGCAGTGGTCCGGCATCGAGCGCTGGCTGCAGGTCGTCGCCGCGCAGATGCAGAACCCGCACATCACCAACGAGGACATGGAGTGGAGCGCGCCCAAGTACGTGCGCGTGGTGGCCCGGCTGGTCGAGGCGCGCCGGCAGAGCGGCCGCGTCGAGGAGATGGGCGGCGCCGCCGCCGTGGACCGGCTGCTGGGCCTGCTGAAGGACTTTGACGCCCTCTACATTGCCAAGGCCGCCAAGGGCCGGCCGCCCAAGACGCCGAAAACGAAAAAGGCAACAAAGAAGCTGCGGGTGGCGCAGCGGTAAGGACCTCCCCACGGTAGCATTGCGCGCCGGCCGGCGATATGGGGCCGCTGTGCCTTGTTACCCCGAGAGTATTTAATTGTCCTTTTATTTTATTTTTTCTTTGTTTAATCGACATCGATTCAAGCAACTATTCGCGAGAGGGCAGGAGGGTTATATGAGATGGGGTTCTAGAAAATCATGCACATGGCAAGGCGTCTACGTGGGTTGAGATACCTACACTAATATTTATTTACCTGCGGAAGAAAAAAGGGAATGCGAAGGGGAGGCAACGGACACCAGGCGTTATTTCTTTTGTCAGATTTTCTTATTGTCTAGTTTCTTTTCTTTCCAGCTCAGCGACTTGATTCAGTGGGAGACTAGAGAGTGGGTAGGATGGAGGCAATTGCTGCAGTGAGCTTTCTTTTCTCCTTTTATCCCGTTTTGCTTTTGTTTATTCCTTTTGTTTTTGCTTCTTGAAGTTTGTTCACCCAACTGTACGATAAAAGACATGAAAGGGGTGCTATGGAGAGCTTCAGCAAGTTTGGTTAAAGGGGCCAATAATTCATAAAGCATCACCGTATGGGGAGTTCGCATTGAATCCAAACGCATTTACAATTTACACTATTGAAATATCAAATAGCAGACTCTCAACGACTGCGGGTATAGGTGACATAATTGTACAGATGTATGAGTAAGAAATGGTAGGGCCTCGATGCCACCAAAAGCCAGAACTGTAACGTGTCGCCCAAAACGACGATTTCCCTGGTCGTATACATAGCACAAAAATAAATAGCAAATAGGAAAACTATTCATCTCACGCGCAAACGCTTGCCACGACAACCATAACTGCACCGTAGACGGCCGCACAGCAGAGCAGGTCGCGGCTGCTTTGGCTTGGCCGGCCACTTGTGGACGAGGCGTGTTGGTCGTCCGCGACGCAGAATGTGCCCGCCTGCGCATAGGCCCCAAAGACGGTAATCGCCACAAGGAGCACGACAGCCATTCGACCGGCAACGCCCGGTATCAGTGCAAAGGCCGGGATCGGCACAAGCACGGCCACGGCCATGGGGATGACGAGATGTAGGACGCCGTCGGAGGCCAGCGTGGCGCGGGACCAGTCGACGGGCTTTTCGTCTTCTTCTTTTCCTTCTGGCCGTTTAGAGGCTGTGCTCTCTTCTGCTTCCACAGAACACTGCGACTCTAATGAAAAAGTACGGGCGGCCGTCATCTTGTCTCTTGCTACCAGTTCCTCCTTTTCAAAGATGGCTGTCGTGGCACGAGACGAGTTGCATGACAGCGCAGACGACTTGGAGGACGCAGACGTGGATGACAGTGTTGGAGATGCTGGGCGGCTGTTGCGTGCACTAGGGAAGAGAAGGCTCGAGCGGTTTATGCTCATGGAATTCATGGAGTCCATGGATTGCACAGGCATTGGCTCTTCGTTGAGCGATTGCAGGTACGAAGGTGAAGACGAGAGGCGCGCATCAGAGCCGGAGGAGGATGAGGATGACGGCGAGCTCAGACCGGACGATGCATCGTCTGACAACCGGGTCCGCTTGTGACGCCGCGGAGCCAGAGTGACGAGATCTTCACTCGCATCTAGGAACCGCGTCTCGATCTCGGCAATGGGCTGTTGCGTGTCGAGGTAGGAGCGGTAGTCGCTAATATCGGATAGTGTGGGCGAAGGCAAGTGCTGCGTCTCGGTAAAGGACGACAAGACGTGGTCTGTTGGTTAGTTGTGTACGCAGTCATCGTGTAGACACTATCGTGGACTTACTGTATTGCCCAAGTTTGTAACCGATTTTGCCCAGCACGTCCGTCTTGTGCCACTGCAATTCACCCCCAGTGAGCACTTCAGCCCGGCGCGAAGCAGGAAGGATGCTGTTTTGCAGCCGGCGGGTTTGTGTGTCCGCTGTATCCAGGCGGTGGAGCTGCTCCTCAAGCTCGCTAAGCTCGTCCTGGAGGTGTAACAAGATGCGGTGGTTCAGAGCCTCAAACTTGCGGTACAGCGGTTTGATCGAGAAGTGCGGCGTTTGCACACCAGTACTCCCACCACCATCACCACCACCGCCGCCACCACCGCTGCCTGTGCTTCCGTGGCTGCTTCCCGGGCCACTACCAGAACTCCATGCACTTTGTGAACTCTGCGTGGATGCCGCCCCCACACTACCCCGGCGAAACTTCATAATATGGGACGAATGAGACGACAGCTGCGAGGCCAACAGTTCGTAGCCCGTGAGAGGCAGCTTTTCCGCGCGTGGCAGATGCTTCACGTGGCCGGTGGTAGGTGGTCGAGGATTCAGTTCTTTTGGAGGTAGGTGTGGCAGGTTGGCATTGCCCCTGGGCATCTCTGGTGTTCCGTAGCGGTAAGCCCGAGATTTTTGTTGTTGTGCTGAGAGATGAGCTTTTGTCTGAGGCTGACCTCGGGAATGGGTGCGAGGGTACACGGTTTGTTGGCGATATTGTTGCTGCGGATGCGGGTTCAAAGGCAGCCCGGGATAGTCGAGCTTACCGTTCAGAGCCATGGCCACTGACGAGATGCCTGGCATGCGCAATTCCAGTCCCGATGCAGGGTCTGGTTTGGGTGTCCGTTCGTCTCCGCTTTCCCCGCCCTCACTCGTTTCGGTATCGGCAGAGCTGATGTCGGAGTCGCTCCCGCCATCATCGAGAAGTAGTGTCTTGTCGTCGTCACTGCTTGTCGTCGTTACGACTGGTGGTGGTGCCTCGGTGCTCTCTACAGCCGACTCCGGTGTGGCGCCACGCCGCGGCCGCCAAGCAGCGGCCTCTGCCACAACACGGGTGATACTTTCTTTGGTGACGGCGGGCGAATCCGGGTCGAGAAAGCTCAGTGCATTTGGCCGCTGCTTCTTTTTGGCCGGTGGTGAAGTGGTGTGTGTTGCCTGTCCTGCAGGCTGGGAAAGGCTTGCACTGTCCGACTTGAGAGTGTGGCGGCTGTCGCTGATATATGCGTGTGGGGCAGGCGATATGTCGAACCGGCGAGACGGTGATGCAGATCTTGGCCGTCGCAGCCGTTGACCTGTTGTGCGAGGCCGCGTTTTGATGTCATCGGCAGAGCGGGACGATCCCAGAGCTGTTTTGTACGCCTCCTGTCGCTCCTGTTCACTCGAAGTGATGCCGTAAAAAGACATTGTTGTCGGGACGTCCGCCTCAAACGGCTTTCCCTCGTAGTGCCGTATCTCGTGCGCCGACCATGAGAGGGACTCGGCACCCTCTGTCAAAAAGGACATCTGCTTGGGAGACATGGCCTGGCCAAGTTAGTAATGGCATGGCAATGGAACTTGCGGCTGCGAGAGAAGTACTTACTAAAGAGTTGGTGGGTTCAGTCAACTCTCGTAGGAATCGGCAAAGTAGTCACGAGTGCCTCGTGATGCTGACCATGGCCTTGCAGTGAGGAAGGCAGCACGGCGATCGTCGAAGATGGAATAGAAAAGGTGAAGGAAAAGGCGACGTTGTAGATGGAATAAAGAATGGAATGGGGAAGAAGAGATGCCTGCAGAAATAAACGGACGCGATGAGGTTGCCGGGGATATGATGAAACGTCGGCCAAGCGAGGAATTTAGCAAAGGATATATAAAAGAGAGCGGTTTGCGAGTAGAGTTAAAAGACGAGATTCAAACTGGCAGAGTGAAAGTGAGGAGTTTTGCGAGGACATGCAGTATTGACCAAAACGGTATGCGATTTTGTGTGCTTCTACCCCTGCTTGTTCACTTCTCCCAGTGATGAGTTGTCAAACATGGAACTGGACGCTCCCAGACAAGGGGTGGCGGGAGGAGAGTAATCAGCGAAAAGCGTGGGAGCGACGAGAAACACAAAAAAGCCAGAAAGTTAGAAAAAAGGAGGCAAAATGCAACAGGAAAATACGGTGTGGATTCCTATTCTCTGGACTGGGAAGGAGTAACGATGTTTGCCTTAAAGTCGAAGAAGGAAGGAACGAGCGAAGTCTGCGATGTCGTTTGCTGTTGCCTTTCTGCGCAGCAGTCGAGTCGGTCTCTCTTTCCATTCGGCCGCTCTGTCCGCTCCTTCCTTACTTAACACCCCCGTACGGAGGATTGCCTTTTGTTTTTACATACAAATCTGACTGGCAATTCCCCCCGTTTGTGATTACATGAATTTTCAAAACGCTGTAGTCGGTGCAGTTGACAAAGGGCCACAGCACTACTTACGCGTGCCTGTTTTGTGTCTGTTTTCAGTTGTTTGCACGTCCGTTTGAACGTCAAAAGTCGGACGATTTCCCCACAAAAATGAAATGCTTGGCAACACACAAGGAAGGAGGCCAAACAGCGGGATATCGCCGTCGAATCGACATGCACAACGGGAAGGAACGACCGGAGGAGCATCACCAACAACATTTCCCCTGGCGCTAGCGGCGTCGCAATCCAGACTTCACCCGTTTCCTGTCCCTACTACGTATTCTCTCATTTTTGTCGCCTCCCCTTTCACTGTCACACCAATGCAACGATCCCCGCAAAACCCACGTCGAGATATGAACCGGGTTCTCTGTTAATGGTCCAAATTTTCGCCAATGGCAGGACCCAGCGATCTTGAAAAGTCCACACTGCGCTTTTTGGCCCATCCACAATGCAGCCATCCGTTTGTATCTCAGAAAAATACGACGAGGCATGTGATGCAACCCTGTTTGCTGTCTGCACAACTGGCCTCCATTCTGCGATATTCCCGTCCCCCCTTGGTTGGCCAAAATATGGGGACCAATGTAGGAAGCCCGTGTATCAGCCTTGTTCTGTGCGCGTTTCAGAATTGTTCTGTTTTTGCGCAGGGACTTTGTGCCCAGCGTTGTACTTAGTTTGTAACACGCCTCACAAGCCGTACGTCTTCAATTTATTTGAAATGTCGCATTAGAGCCCGCTTCCTGTTTTTCGTTTCCTGCCTCCTATTTCCAATTATGTCGTACGTACGGTAATGTGGCAAATGTTGTACATTATCATATGCTTTTCTTGCCTTGTTTAATTTGGGACTCGATTGCCTTGCTTTGCCAACGCTTG